ATAACTTTGATATTTTTTTTGTTTTTCTTCTCATTCCCCTATTTTACTAAATTTTCCCTAAGAATTTTTCCATCACCCAAAATAATAGTTTCTTGATGTTTTCTTTCCATGGCCAATGTAAGCAATGTAAGACCTCAAACTAGGTTATTTTCTTGAAAAAGTAAAATAAAGATTTAGGCTCCTCCAAGTTGAAATTCATCCAAACAAGAACATTCATGACACAGGTGGGTCAAAATGCATCTGGTTCACAGGAATTAAATGAGTAGAATCAAATCAGGAGGTACTCTTGTGATCCTGCTTACACAGAAGAAAATTATAGTCTTGTTTTAATACTACAACAAGCATCTAGTTCCATCAGATAGTGCACATTAACTGCAGATTGAGTCTTTTTCCATGCAGCATGCAAGACATGGGTCTGAGGAAGATGCAATCTGAATAGCAAGACGGACAGACAGACAGACCTGACAGGACTGTTTTACAAAGGTGAGGACTTTGTACAAGGTCACAGAAAAGTCTGCTGCTGCGGACCTTGCCCTTCCCAGACCTTGTTCCATGTCTTATGCATGAAATAGCCTCTCCCTTCTTATGCCAACTCCAGGCATTTTTCTAACACAGCTTAAATTTAATCTCTGCTCTACACTGCAGTGTTTTGGAAAACTGCACTTATGGGTGGGCACAAGGATATGTACAAGGTGCATAACTTGGGTAAATTTGGAAAGAGCAACTTTTATTTATATGTACCAGAAAGTGCTTGTAAACTTCCCCTGCAGAGTTATTTTGGTCTGCTAGCACAAATTTGTCAGCTGCTGAGAGATATTTCTGTGAGCTGAGAGGAGGATGCTTTTCTGGGCTGGAGCGACACGGACGCAGACCAGTGGACTTCCCACTCTGGGGGCTCCTGAGGACAGGAAACCTCCCAGCATCAGCAGGCTTCTCTCTCAGGTCTGGGGTTTGGGCTGCTGATCAGCCAGCACTGGCAGCGCAGCTCTGAAAGAAGCACAGAAGGGCAAACATTGGCATTTATTTTCTCTTTTAGATTTGTTCTCATAGAGGGATGGAGCAATTAAAAGATCAGCGGAGCTACCCTGAATTTTTGAATATTTATATCATGCTCACTTCCCTTGACAGTGCGCCTATGCTTTTTCAGGGCCTTATAGACACTTAACAAATACTCTTAGTATTATCTTCTCCTTTTCTTTTATGCCATGTGCTTTATTGTGCTCTTTAACTTTCAAACAGTTTCTAAAATACTATTGGTTTGTTAGGTCTCCTCTAGTAATATCTGCTTCTTATTTTGAGTTTTCCTCTTAAAAATTGACAGTGCTTCATCCTGTGGTGAACTTGTGTGTCTCCTGTCAAACAGAAGAGATCTAAATAAACCAGCCAGACAAATCTTGGTTATTCTGTGTTACATCTAATGGTGCTATTTGTTTGCTGACTTTTTTTCCTTTTTTTTTTTTTTTTTTGAGAAATAACCTGGCTCTGCTATCATAATTTGCAGTATTGATTCAGAAACTAGCAAACCTGTTAATCTTTACGTTCCATACCATCACTTTTCCTGTTAGCTTACATAGAAGGAACTTAATTTTCCACAACTTTCACAATGTTGTATAGAAATTATGAGAATTATTTTAACTTACAGTATAAAATAGTATCTGCTTAAACTTAAACTACCTCTTGGAAATTGTGAAATCTTCTCTTTTGAGACTGGGTTGGGTTTTTTCAACATTTTCTCTTGCAGGACAATTATTTCTTGGTTAAGTACATGGAAAAACACATATACTGCTTTTGAGGAAGCATTAGGAGAGAAATGTGCATTGCTCTTCATTAAAAAATGGCTGAGCCTTGCCATGTGCAAAATAAAGTCCTTTGCTGCGTTCCAGGTTAAAGGTGTCAGGAGGTAGACGTCACTCCATTCTTTCAAGCTCTAGAATTACTATAGGTTTCTGTACCCAGGTTTCAGTGAGATCCAGGGAACAAATAAGAACCCATTTTATACAGACAAATTGTAAGAGATGGATGAAGATAAAGAATGAGCAGAAGCAAAATTCACCAGCATACCTGATGGCATAATTACATTGATTTTTTTGATTCATATATCACCCCAGGTACAGATATATGTCATTTCATTTCTGTACAGCATGATGGAAAGTCTGTGAGGGATATTATGACTTTTTAAGTCACTATCTCTCAGCCAGGTTGCTTTGGGGGCAATGCTCTTCAGCCCATGAGCTTGATAGCAAACTGACACTCCTGCCCTCAGCTAGATGAGCTGTCAGTTAAGGATGACAGTATTGCATAAACAGTTAAGTTAGTCCTGTATCTTGTCTGTACTGGGATGCAGTGTCAGCTTCACCTCTGCGGGAGAGAAGCCTGTGAGCCCCTGTAGCTAACACTACCTTTCTCAAACGGCTGTGGTGCAGACGTCAAATACCTAGTGTTTCCTACAAGGTGTAAATCTAGATTTTTCCCTCTGTATCACAAATACTCTGTTCTAGTCTGCTCTCTCTAAATCTTGTCTAGATACTGGTCATGAAACTATTGACAAGTAAGAAGAGTAGGCTGAATTTCAGATAGTCTTAGAAGATCTTAAATGTTCCCTAGGGATCTGACCCTGTGTCTCTTACCCTTGTAAACCTTTTCTTTTGCTTACCCTAGTAGACCCATGAGGAACTATGCCTAAAGACAATGCATATGATTAAGAATTGCAGGACTAAGGCTGTGTTTTTTGTGACACAATGTACTGTTGCCAGTAGGTCACATCAACGCATATAAAAAATGGAAAGTCCTGGTGTATATCAAGCATTGAATTTTTGCAGTAAATCAACAAATCAAAGTAAAGTCAGATCTCAATTACCTATACAAGATGTACTCTTGTTGATGTTATTCAGAACATGCATTTTATTGCCTTGCAAACATCTGAAAGGAATTCAGTTTTCAACAACTTCAGGCTTTGCTATGGCATAATGGCTTAGTTTTGTAGCAACAAGCTGAAATATTGACTGTCACAGAACTGACTGCCAAACTGAACTTTCTGAGGTTTGTTTTGTGTACAAATTAAAACTGTCTTTCCATTTTCAGCTCTGCAAACAATACCTGTGTTCTGAGAAATACATACTTTGAAAACTGCCTGTGTACTGCAACATGAAAAAGGCTGCTCCTATGTATATTGTTATTTAAATATAGGACTAAAAGGAACAAGTGCAAGCCATGGGATAGCTTATCTGCAAAATAAGGAATTTCTTCTACCTTTGATCTCTGGATGTGAAAAGAAATTGTCACTGAAGTATAATTTAAAAATAATCTAAATATGTTACAACGGATAACAACATTATTTAAATATGTAATTAATTTTGCTGCAAATCTCTAATATGAATAAATAGATGCCTTTAACTGTCACAAGAATGAAGTCATATGAGCAGCTCTTGCTAACAAGGTACAAGTGCTATTCTTCCATTGCAACACCTGGAATATCAGTTGTGATATAATACACAAGTATCAAAAAGTAAATATAAACTGATGTTGCATCATGGAGTTGAGCTTTTATTTATAGAAAGAATTAGAAAGCTAATTATAAAAATACTCCCTTGTGTGTGAAAGGCCACTGATACAAACGGAAGTTTCACTTGTTTTGAAGAACATTAACTGAGTAATATCTCACTCTTTCTCTTTCAAATGAGACTTAACTTGGTTGGCATTCCATATTGTTTATATGCAATTGTTTCATTCACCTATAGGTCCATCTTGATTGACAGCCCCTTATCAATAAGGGCTGTAAGAACACTTTTTTAAATTTCAACCTGTAGCAGTGTATCAAAATGTATGACTTTTCTGTCCAGTGCTTCAGGAGCATATTTAAAAAACAAGCGTCAGAAACAGATGTGATTTTTGACTGGTGTTTTAGTTGAATATTTTACGTCCTTGAACATCTCTTCGCTATAACATTAGATATAAATGCATCTAACTGCACTGGTGTATCAGACAGCAGCATCTAGATAGGAGCAGTGCCAGTGGAGGAGGGTGAATTCTATTGTTTACTTCAGGTTTAATCTGGGGCCAACATATTTTTTCTTCTACAACATTGTTTGTTTGATTTGTGTCATTGCTAGGGATTGCTAGGAAGAACATATATACTTGTGCTGCACCAAGCTGACAGGTCACCGTCTCATGCAGTTCTCAAGCACTGTACCATAATTTTCCAAAGCAGGTTTCTTGAGGAGATGTAATACACCCAAGAAAGATGCAGAAACGTATGGTAATCTTATCAAATGCCTACACTTACAACTACAGGAGGAAAGGCATTTTCAGTGGAGAGGATACTGAAAGGCAATGGTTTATTGCGCATCATCAGCTTAAGCCATCTAAATTTTTCCACACTAGGGAATCTGATCTAGAGCATATGGTGAGTTCACATGCAAAAACATGATAGACTTAAAATGGCAGTTTTTAATTAGCACCTTATTAGTGTTCAGGTGCTAGCCATGTTTAGTGACAGCATGAAGTATATGGGCTAGATTTTTGCATCCAGAATGGCATTACACCTGCTTAAACACATTTTGCTACCTGAATTTGTATTGACTTTACTAATGATGGTAGAGGATGCTTGGAGCTTTTACAATGCTAAAGTACACTATACTTTTGAAATCCTTGAACTATCTTTTGGGCGACTGGAAATGAAAGCAAAAAATCTATGCTAATGTACTACAAATGTTCTCAGGCTGCACTTATTTTTTTTCCACATGTAATTTTTAGATAAAGTATCTAAACTTGCCTGAAGTTTGACAAAGATAATTGCAGCACTGTTGCTAAGTGTTCTCTGTAAGCAATCTGTATTCTTTACACACACAGTTACAATTAGAGAATAAAAAAGAAAAATTACTTCTTTTACTTAGATGTTTGAAATAGTTTTTTTCTAACATTGATTTTATCAAAAAAGATTATGGTACTTATGATTTAGACCTGTCATACGCACATCACAGGTTAGGATTATAGGATGAATAGGGATGGAGGAAATGTCATTTCCTTACAAAGGAGGCCCTGAAACACCAGAAAGGTAGTATTAATGTAAAGAAGTCTTGATTTACCTGAACAGTTTACCTGCTAGTCATCTCTAGACTGCTCATTTAAACCATTTCTCAAGGTACACTCTAGCTTTCCATTTGACATAAAAAAGAAAAAGGAAAAAAAATCACTGTTAACAAAATTGTTGTAAACAAAAGCAGCACAAGAGCACTCCGTCCAGTGGCAGATAACAAGTATCTAAGATTTACTATGTAGTAACCACATTGGAAGACTAGTTCCACCAGCAAAATTATATTTTTGCTGAATGAAAGCATTACAGACGAACTTCTATGGCACTAACTGTTTTGGGGAGTTCATTGTTGTACTTGCCAGTCTATTTCAAAAAAAACACCTAAGGTATTTAGCAGTCTTTTGTTTAGCCAGAATATCTTCAGTTATTCGGGATGGGGAGTGATTTTTACCAAGCAATAACCAAAGAATAAGGACATTAGCTGTAAACCTTGTAGATGGCTCTTTAGGAAGCAAGATGATTTAAAATGCCAGGGCTGCCTGAAAGCCAAGCCCACCTAATTGCTATAGGCCCTTTCTGCTGAGTCCTGGTTGATCTGCATGAGAAACAGAAGCTGACAGAAAGAGACAGAAAAAAGGATGCACAGGTAAAGATCATCAGAAACTGTAAGTTTTTCTTTGACTGACTGAATTGTAGACGGTTTCCACTGATTTGCATGTGGCAAAATGCACTAGCAAAGGGAACAAAAAGCAGATCAAAAAAGACACTTTTTTGTTAATAGCAGTGTGAGGTCCGATGTTTTCAGTTTGCTCAGACCTAGTCCCTGGCTGAAATGTCAGGAACATATAACAAGAGGTAAGGTCCATGTTCAAATCAATGCTAATCAATTTTCTAACTTGTTTAATGCCTGGAACAGAAAGAAAACGAAACTGAAAAAAAAAAACAAGCAGCAACTCAGTGATAAATGATGTACCTGGGTATTGTTTTTTCTTTCATGTGATCAAATTCATGTGAACAAATGCTACATGTTTTTTCAGGGTGGGGTGTGGTGGTAATATTCACTGATATTGGCAATTTTTTTTTTAATTCTGTGGTGAATGGCTATAAGTAGTTACGCTCAGATTTGAAGCTTCTATGGTGTTTTTTCTTTGGTTGCTGTTTGATTGGTTTTTTGAGGTGTTTTTGTTGTTATGTTTGGTGCTGTGTTTTTTTTTTTTTTGTTTGGTTGGTTTTTGGTGTTGTTTTCTCTTTTTTATAATACCAGTTCATAATATCACTTAAATAAATAAATTCAGGAAATTACAAGCACTTCTAGCACAAGCTGTTGCCCAAAATGGCAGCTTGAACAAGCAAAGAAAGTGTTATAGAGATGAATTTATTAAAAAAAAAAAGTTTAAAAATATGAAGGTGTTATTACATGTAGAGGTTTGAATTTTTGCCAAAAATGAACATAGAGGTTGCACGTTTTTTCATTAGTTTCACTAGAAAGTAGTGTGCCTAAGCAAATTAGTTAAAGCTGTTTAGAGAACTAAATATGACTGCGGGAGGATAATTTTAGTGTCTAATCTCACACAGTCATGCCAAGCTAATTTTATGCTCCCTTTTCCCCTTTTAACTCAATGCATTTATATAAAATCAAGATAATTTACTTTCCCCCTTTACAAATGTATATATAGAGAGAGTGGTATATATACTGTATATTAATATAAATATATTTATAAAGATAGAAACCTGTAACACTAAAATACAGTAACATATTTAATACAGTAAAGTACCTAAAATATATATTGACTGGGAGGAGGGAACAAAAATAAATGTCAGTTTGAACTGTTGATTCCTTTTTTTTTTGGACGTTGTGCGTCTGGTAACACCGCTAACTTTCTACCAGCCTGTTTTAATATATTTAAGGTGTAAACTAAAAGAAATCAGTTATGTATTCTGACATGGATAGTCATATAATTTTCATTGATACATTCTCTGTTTAAGTAACTTACATGTTATTAGTTGTGCTATGACAGAAACTAAATCGTGGTTTGTTTTGTTTTAAATTTAAAGGCTCTGTTATGGTAAATATTGCCTGTATATATTGATATGGGAGAAGCAGAGATAATTTATTCCCTGTGAGTATTAAAAAAGGGATTGTAATGTTTTTTCATGGACATTCTCAATTTTTAGAGCCTGGCTATTATCAGAGGTATGATCTGAATAGGAGAATAAGACATAAAGGGTAGGATTTCCTAAAAATTATTTTGCGTGACTTTTTTCAGCTAAAAATAGCCAACTTTTAATTTCCCTTTTTCTCTGGAAGACTCATCTGATGTTTTGTCATTTTTACTGTTCTCTTATCCCTCAAAATAAGAATCATTACTTCTAGTATCATCAATAGAACATTATAGTACAGGAAGCATAAAGACTGTCCAAAATAGTCATTAAATGATCATTACTTTCTTGCTAAGTAGGGTTATAGTGACTTTGAATATAAGCTGCAGGATATGAGTATGCCACACCAAAGCAGGCTATATCACGGAAGAAATTACCAACAGAATATTTCATTGTACAGCATAGACTGGGGTTTTTGTTTGGTTTTGGTTTGTTTTTTTTTTCTTTTTCTTTTTGTTGTTGTTTGTTTGGTTTGGTTTTTATTTTTTTTTCCCCAATGAACTTGGAAAAGTTTTTATTATTTAGCCATCTCTGTCAGAAATTGTTGCTACTGTAAGAAGGCAAACATTTCACTAGACTGACGGGTGTGCTTGTAAGAAAAAGATGGTATTGCAGCTTTGCTTTTAGTAATGATATCCTATTTTTTACTTAACACTGTTTTATATAGAAAAAAAACACTTTTTCTTTCTCTGTGTTTTATCAAGAGCTGTGATTCTCAGAAAGTGAATGTAGAGCCTAATGAACATTTAGCCACAAAGACTGGTTGCTATATAGCATTTAATCAGAGCAGCAGCAAAACTGTATGTGAGGCTGTAAGGGAAGTTGTAATATCTACACACACAGCAAAACAAGCTAGGGACAAAACAAGGTCTGATCAAGTACAGCTTCACCCTCTGCTTCCGACTTCTCTTTCTACTGTTGAATGAAGTCAAATGTAAAGGTTTTTGTGAATGTTTAGCTTACATTGTGTACATTTCAGTTGTAACCGTTAAAGTAAATTGCTGGATTCTCCAAAGAGATGATTATTGCTTATATATACTTGCAGTAGGTGCATGTGCATATAAACTGGTGAGTGTGGGCTCACAAGCCTGTATGACTGCATAAACCAAGGACCCAGACCACAGCCATCACCTCCCTGCAATACAGGCCACAAACAGGGTACGGTCTGCAAGCACCTCCCTGCAGCTTTTGATCACCTTTCCTGACTTCCACATGCTGTATTTCACAGTCTGGCTCCCTGTGGGACTGCATCAGGGCAAGGAGTTGGCTGTGGTGATAGGAGGGATAAGGCTTGCTCTCACTTTTGTTTAAAATCACATCGGGACTGAAGTTGTGAAACCACAGGAGAGGCCTTTCATTCTTTCTTTTGTAACAGGTGTGGATCACATAAACCCAACCATAATGGCTTTTTATAATATTGAGTGACACTAATAAGAATTTGATTTCTAAAGTTTGAGTAGATGTTGTTTGTGGTGGAGAAAATTCAGTAAGAGTGTGCAGATGCTGTCTTTAAACTGTCCTGGTTTATGTCCTTGAAGAGTTTATGTGGAGAAGGTTAAACTTAATTAAATGTAAAGAGTCAGGTGAGAAATATGTGAGGAATCTGCTGAATTACTCTTTTACCTGCAATGCTATATTTTAATCTAAAGCAACTCTTTGTGTTAGGCATTCATACATCCTAGCAGGTAAGGTAGAAGGACATTTGTTGATCCTGGAACAAGCAGGCAGTACAGGGAAGAGAGTAACAGCCCTCAGCACAGCATGAGGAAAATAGCAAAACAATCAAGCTGTAGTGATGGGTGATTTCAGTTTCCCAATATGAACTGGAAAAACTGAAAACCATGGCACAATGAAAAATAAAATTGTAGAAGAAATAAGAAGTTATTGACCTGTGGTGTCAGGATCCTAATAGGACTTGTCCTCTCGAATCTCAGCAAAAATGTAGTTAGTAGATTAGAAACAGCAGAGCTACCTGGTTCAAGTGACCCCATGATTAAACTCAATATACTTAGAACACTAAGCAAAATATATCAAAAGCACAATATGAATTCTCAAAGGTCTTCATTAAAGGTATATGGAAAAAAAAAACCAAACCTGTGAGAAATGGGTAAAGAAACAATAACGGGAGACACTTTTTGTGAAAATAAAGGGCTTTCTGACATTTCCAAGGTGAAGTATTTGGGGGAAAGAAAGATAATGATGTGATTATGGGATATTCATTCCTACAGTCTGACTATTGTACTTTCTTTAAACTCTTAATTTAATAAATGTGTTCCATTACTGAATTCCTGCTGAAATTATTGTGTAAGAGCTATAGCTGCAGCCATACCTGGGAGATTGGGGGCAGCAATAATTTTCTAGTCATATTCATTTGATAACCATAGAAGGGTTGCTTAGGAGATGGGTATTCCTCCATTAAGTGATTTAACCTCAGTCATTGACTGCAGCGAGGAGCAGCCTTTATAAAGTTTTCTGTTTTATTGTTCTGATATCACAGAAAAAAAAGATGAGCATCTAGGGTTTAAGGTGGAGAGAAACTGATGCTTCTAGAGATGCACTGGGCATGGTTATGCAGCTATGGTATTTATACATTTGTATGATGTCTCTGCTAAAATGAAATCATTATCAGTACAGACGAAACATCTCTGGTTAGGTTTTCAACTTAGTACACTGTATGTTGTGTGAATTTGCTTTAAAACCAGCCATGTGGTCATACTTCTTCAAATAATTTGAATTTTTGTGTTTTTCTTTGCCCCTGTAATTCAAGCATGTAATTGGACCAAATATTCCAACAAGGATTTAAAATAGAGAGACTAATGTGAATTTTGTGACAAGAATAGATGAAGTGGCAAACTGTGTCGTTGTAGAAGATACTGTAGGGTACTGTATTTTTCCCTTGTCCCACTTTACCCACCTGATTCAATGAGGAAAATCTTAGCCCTTGTGGAAAACTAGTTGGAGGAAAAAAAAGTAATTCTTAGAATGCTTAAAATTCAGATAAAGCCACAACTACTTTCCATTTCTATATACTGTTATGTCATGTAGAAAAGACAAAACCAGACATAACTTAATGTAAGTGGGAAGAACTCTAGAATGACTGTGCAGAAAAATGTTACTGATGCTAATCTTTGCAAAGCCAATATTTTTGTAATTGGCATCTAATAACGTCTGTAATTTAAACAAAATCAGCGGTTTCCCATCAGCATTTTTAACTTTTTAACTGTAAAATAGCACACCACTTATAGCAAGGTTGGGAAATGCTTTGAAGCATTCGGATTCTGCTGTGAGACTCCTATTTATGACCAAGATGAAACAAGTTTCACAGATTATAAAACTCCCTGTTGCTGAGATACCTCGTTATAGCTTGTCCTACATTTAAGTGAGTGTGGGCTGAGGGTTTATTTGTGGTTTGTTTGTTGGCTGTTTTTTGTTGTTGTTTTTGTTGTTGTTGTTTTGGGTGTTTGTTTTGTTTTGGTTTAGTTTGTTTTCCCCAGATGACAACCTC